ATATGGTAAATGTTAACATCTACTGATGTTGTTTACTGTGTCAACGGATTGACTATTCCATCCTTTGATTTCAACCTTATAAAATTTGTTTCTTGTAAATGGCATATATTGGGTTTTGATATTTTTTATTCAGTTGGGCACTCTCTTTTAATCAATAGTTTAGCCCACTTACATTTAATATAATAGCTAATGGTGTATGGTTTGTAGTCAACCTTTTGTTATTTTTCCAATTTGTCCTATCTTCTGTTCCTTTAGTCCCCTCGTCCTTTCTTTTGAATCCATCAGATTTTTTTTAAATTCCATTTTCGCCTTGAATCATGTATTTTTAAGTCATTTGTTCTTATAATTCTTAGTACCTACCTTAGGGATTACAATATTTATTTGATTTATTGTAGTTTTCTTAAATTAGCACATTTACCACTTGCTAAATAATGTAAAGATCACAGAAGTACTTGACTCCATTTACCTTCCACCACTAATACATACCACATTGTATATGTTATGTCCTCAAACATTATTGTTTAAATTGTGAGTACTAACATACATTTATCTACATATTTACCTTTCCATTGGTCTTTTTTCTTCTGATTCTCTATTTCTGGGGTCATTTTCCTTTGGGCTGAATTACTTTCTTTAGTATTTTTCTTTTGTAGCCCAGGTATGCTGGTGCCAAATTCTCTCAGCTTTCGTCTGTCTGAAAATACCTTTATTTTGCCTTCGTTCTTGAGTTGGGCTCAGAGCTCAGACCTTGGGAGATTACTCCCCTCTGGGTCCGCGGGCGTAAAAGAAAACCTCAACACTCCCAGACCTCCGAGTGCCGTTTGGTTCTTCCATCAGTGATCCAGTTCAGGTTTTCCAATATTTTCTGTAACAGTTGTCTTCCTAGTGAACTTTTCATTATAAAAGGACATTATAAATGTCCTATATTATAAAATGTCCATCTCTAGTAATAACTTGTTTCAAAGCCTCCTTTATATGGTAAATGTTAACATCTACTGATGTTGTTTACTGTGTCAACGGATTGACTATTCCATCCTTTGATTTCAACCTTATAAAATTTGTTTCTTGTAAATGGCATATATTGGGTTTTGATATTTTTTATTCAGTTGGGCACTCTCTTTTAATCAATAGTTTAGCCCACTTACATTTAATATAATAGCTAATGGTGTATGGTTTGTAGTCAACCTTTTGTTATTTTTCCAATTTGTCCTATCTTCTGTTCCTTTAGTCCCCTCGTCCTTTCTTTTGAATCCATCAGATTTTTTTTAAATTCCATTTTCGCCTTGAATCATGTATTTTTAAGTCATTTGTTCTTATAATTCTTAGTACCTACCTTAGGGATTACAATATTTATTTGATTTATTGTAGTTTTCTTAAATTAGCACATTTACCACTTGCTAAATAATGTAAAGATCACAGAAGTACTTGACTCCATTTACCTTCCACCACTAATACATACCACATTGTATATGTTATGTCCTCAAACATTATTGTTTAAATTGTGAGTACTAACATACATTTATCTACATATTTACCTTTCCATTGGTCTTTTTTCTTCTGGTTCTCTATTTCTGGGGTCATTTTCCTTTGGGCTGAATTACTTTCTTTAGTATTTTTCTTTTGTAGCCCAGGTATGCTGGTGCCAAATTCTCTCAGCTTTCGTCTGTCTGAAAATACCTTTATTTTGCCTTCGTTCTTGAGAATATTTTCACTAAGTATGGAATTCTAGGTTAGTAGATTCTTCTTTTTTTTAGCACTTTTAAAGATTCCTGTGTTCTGGCTTCCAGAGTTTCTGCTGAAAAGTCGGCCACTGGCTTTACTCTTGCTCCTTACATGTCATTTCTCCCTGCCTGTCAGTAGGATTTTCTGTCTTTGGTTTTCAGCAGTTTGACTATCGTTCCGTGTGGTGCCTTTGCTTTTATTCCATATGGAATTAGCAGCTGATTATAAATGTGTGCGTTGATGTCTGTCAACAGTTTTGGAAAATCCTCAGCCATTTTTTCATCACATACTGCTTCTGCCCCATTTCCTGTCTGTCTGGAAATTCAGTTACAGGTACCTGCATGTCCCAAATGTCTCTTATAGTCTTTTCTTGCAGCTTTGGGTTTTTGTTGTTTTGTTTTGTTTTTTAATTCTTTTTTACCCTCTTCACTTCGGTTTGGATTTTTCTATAGATCTATTTTCAAGCACAAATCCTATCTTCAGCTGTGTCCATTCTGCTCATGAACCCATACTATGAATTCTTAATTTCAGATTTGTGCTTTTTAGCTTTTAGAAAAGATTTATTGAGGTATAATTTTACAAACTGTAGAATTCATTATTTTTAGGTGAACAAAATTAAGTGATTTATAGTAAATTTATTGAGGTAAGCCATCATACAATTTTTTCCTTTTCCCTTTTAAGAATGTACTTTGATGACATTTAAATTGAGTTTTAATTCAAACACAAAGGAAATCTGTCCCACTATGTCAATCAACCTGTCAATACATTGATTATCCAAAATTTTAGCAAGGCAAAATTGATATATATTATATGCCATAAAGTTCACCCTTTTGAGTGTACAGTTCAGTGGTTTTTAATATATCCACAACGTTATACAATCATCTAATTCCAAAACATTCTCATCACTCCAAAAAGAAACCCCATACTCACTAGCAGTCACCCCCATTCTGTCCTCCCCAGCTCCTTGCAGCCATTACTCTGTCTCTACCTGTATGCCTGTTCTGGACATTTCACATAAATGGAATCGTACCATATGTGGTCTTTTGTGTCTGGCTTCTTTCACTAAGCATGTTTTCAAGGTTCGTTCATTTTGTAGCTTTTACTAGTTTTTTTCAGGCCAAACAGTATTCATTATCTGAAAGATCATGTTTTGTTTATCGATTTATTGGTTGATGGATATTTGGGTTGTTCCCACTTGGGGGCTACTATGAATTATGGTGCCATGAACATCCACGTACAAGGTATGTGGAAGTAAGTTTTCCTATTTCCCTGGTTATAAACCTAGGAGTAGAACTTCTGGGTCATATGGTAGCTCTATGTTTAATTTTTTGAGAACTGTCAAACTGTTTTTCCAAAGAGGCTGCACCATTTTAAATTGCCACCAGCAATGAGAGTTCGAATTTCTCCACATCATTGTCAACACTTCTGACTGTCCATCTTCTTGATTATAGCCGTCCTAGAGGGTGTTTTTTCTTTTTTGTGGGTTTGACTTACATTTCCCTAATGGTTAATAATGTTAAGCTTCTTTTATGTGTTTATTGACCATTTATTTATCTTCCTTGGAGAAGAGTAGTTATGTCTATTCAAATCCTTCTGATTTTTAAATTGAGTTGCCTTATTATTTATTGTTAAAATTCTTTTATATTCTGGATACTAGACCCCCCTTATCCTCAATCTGTATCTAAAACAGTTCCATTGTCTCTAAAAGATCCCTCCTGCCTGTTTGCAATCAATCTTCACTGCAATTTCTACTCTCCTTGCTAATCAACTAAGCTACTTTGTGTTTTGGGTAAGTTCATCCCTCTAATGAGATTTTGTATTCTAAGTATTGTGGGAGACTTCACTCTACTTTTTGGAAGCCCTGGGCCGTCTCTAGCATGCCATGAATAGCTTTGGAGTTGAGCAAATGTCCTGTGAGAAAACTAGTCATGCATTTGGGGTGTTTCAGCTTTCCAGGGTACCCTGTAACTAAGAGCCTTGTGATTTTTCTCCAGTAGATCCCCGCTTCATGGGCCAAACTCAATCCTCAGTTCCAGGCACATAATCAAGAAATGCCCTCAGGGGAGAAAATGGCCAGACCATCAGTTCACCTCAGGAAGGCTTCCACCTCTGAAATTCCAGTTCAGTCCTTAGTGCTTCCACAGTTTAATGTTTAAAAACAAGTTTTATGTTTTAAACCTTTTCTCTGGTAGTTGCAGCAGGAGTGTTGTGTTGCTGTGACTTACTATATCTTTTTACCTATCAATTACTATAAGCTTGTCTTTATATTGTCAGACAAGTTTTTTTCTTTTCCTCCCCCTTCCACATATATGTTGGCTATTTAAGAATTCTTCCTTGTGCATTTTCAAAATCCATTTATCTAGCTCCAAAAAAAAATCTGGTGGGCTTTTGTTACACAATATATTGAATTTATAAATTACTTGGGACAACTGAAATCCTTATGCTTTTAAGTTCTCCATCCATGAATAGTTTACATAACAATTGAGATTTCTATAGGCCCTTTGATAGTATTTTGTACTTTTCTCCTTAAAGGAACTGCACATTCTTTATTAGATCTGATCCTCGATAGCTTATTTATCTTTTAAATCATATTTTATTTTTGGGGTCACATGTCACTATAAGCTCAAAAACTATACATTGACCATTTCCCACCTGTTTTCCTCAGCCACCCAGTTTTCCACCAGAAGAAACCAGTTACTAGGTTATCGATTTTTAGTGTTCATATTTATAGTAATTACATTGATTTTTGTTCCCTAATCTTGTGTCTAGTAATCCAGCTGCATTTTATTATTTCTAATAGTAGGTTATTTTGGATTCCTTTTATGTATATGCATCATCTGCAAAGGGCAGTCATTAGGTTCTTTCTTTTCCACTCCTTGTACTTTTTATTGATCTTACTGCATTGGCTAGGATGCCTCTAATAAAGCAGCTGTAGAAAGGAGCTTGACAACAGCTGCCCTAGATGGCTCCGGTCTTATTCCAGACCTTAATGAGAGGGCTTCTGTTTCATATTATATATGAAATTTGCAGTAGGTTCTTGGCAGATGTCTTTATCAGATTAAAAAACAATTACCTCTGGTCCTATTTTGCTACGAATGAGCATCATGAAAGTTTTTATCAAATTATTTTATGTGCCTATTGAGATGACGATATAGTTTTCTCCTTTCAACTAGTAAATGTGCTCAATCACCCACTTACGGAAAAAAGTAGTCTCAAATAAAACACTTTTACCCCAAGCTGTTATTTATTTTCATGAGGGGGAAAAAAAGAACCTTTTATGATAGTGAAAATATACTTTATTTTTTTTAATACAACAGCTGCCAGCAATATACTGGCTCTAAAGAGAGAAAAGAAAATACAAGCATTCTACAATAGGTTTTCGTTTGCCTTTTCAAGTAATTTTAAAGAAAATACTCCAATTCTGTTCAACATCATGATGTGAGAAGTTGACAATTTTTTCCATGATAAAAATATAATTTTGACAGCCCCAAACTCAATAGTTTGTAACGGGTGGAATAGAAAAAGCCCACATAGTGTATCAATAATGAATGCTTCCCTCTCCTTGAATCAAATACTGATTATAACTAGTGTAAGAAGTTGGTTAATCAACAAACTTAATGAAATGTGTATCAAAATGTTCACAAAAAAATACATTTCTATTGATCCTCATTTTTTACCTTGTAGATATTTTCTAAATGGATATTTTAAATGTGGAGAAATAAAAGCTATCTACATGTAACTCTGGAGAGATTGAAAACTTAACAGAAATAAAAATGCCTAAAGTCTAGAGTTGATCAACTGAATGTAAGAATAAATGTCAGAAACCTCTTAATTGTACACAGATTGCTCAAGGGTTTCAAGATCAGCTGTGTAAGCCAGTTACCTAAAAATAGTATCTTATATGAATTTTATCACAAAAGTCAACAATCCTACTAAAGGATTATACAGAATGGTTTAGAAAATCTGCATCTACATTTAAAAAAAGAGGAAGTTAAATCAACTGAAATAGTAAAGAGCTTTCCAACTGTTCAACACAAATATTTCTCAGAATCCCTTGGAATAAAGTGAGAGCTTCCACTCAAGACTCTAATCTGCTTGTAGGAGTGGAACAGAAGGGTTAGTTTAAGTGAAGGAGGAAATGATTCAGTGGTTGTAGAAATAACAGATGATTTCCATTATGTCAACCCATACACTACATAACTGCCATAAACCTTTTATGTCCCAAATCTCCCAAGATTTTAAACTCTATTTCTGCAAATATAAGAGGGAGTGAAAAGCATGCTATAGGATCAACCTTTTCACTAACTTTTGTCCATTTACCAGTCTCAATTTCATTTGACTAATTTACCTGATAAAGCTATCTTCCTACAGATAAAAATAATTCTGACTTCATCAAAATCATGACAGATAGACCTGCCTTCCTTGAACATCCAGAAAGACAGCCAAGTATAATCATGGGATAAATTAAAAAGAAAAAAAAAATGAAGAGAATAAATATCCAAAGTGAAAAAAGATCACAACTGAGTTTCAGGAAGTGTTTTTTTCATCACTTTATTTTGAGAAATGTAGCTCTTTCCTCATTAGCCCTCTATTCGACACTACTTAGTCTACCATTTACCTGAAAGAACAGATGCCCCTTTTCTTGAGTCTTTTTATACTCTAAGCTATGAGGCAAGGTTCAGCATCACCTGAACACCAAGTTGCCACTATTTTAAAAGCAGGTGAAAAGTGCTGATGGCTGCCTGCACACCGCTGCCGATGTGACCTTTTCACCCACTGAAGCTCTGGCTGTAGAATTTCTAAACATATAACCTAATCGTGCTTCTTCCTGGAACCAGAGAAATAATCATCCAATATTTAATTAAAGAAGTGGTGCCCCAATTTTCTGATCAGCAATAGGAGTTCTAAGAAAGGCAGGGTAAAGAAACCTCCCTGAGCCAAATGGATACAATCTGGAGCTTTTCTTATCTTTCTCTACCAAGCTAATTACTGATAGGTTAAAAAATGCAGTTACATTTACAAAAATCAGCTGCTTCTATAAAGTCGGTGCTTACTGAATGTTAGCATTTCAAAGGACAGAAAACACTGCTGTTTGAAAGCAGTATACTTAAAAATTGCCAAAAAACAGCCTGTGAGAAATAGCACTTCATAAACAATTTAGGTATAAAAAAATTACCAAAAATGTATTGCAGTCACAATCACAGTCTTTGGAGTAGTGCTTAGAAAGCCCATTTTTAAAAAATGAGTAATTACATAGCAAGCTTTTGTTTTATTTATCACCATGTTCATTCTCCCTTGACAGCACATACGATTCCTGGTTCGGACTTCAATTTAAAAAATAAACACACAGAGTGCTATTCCTCAATGTGGCTGTAGAAAAATTTAATTGAAGGAAGTGCAATGACTGAAATTAGGCAAAACTGTGGTAAATATATAATCACCATAACAACTATAATTTAGTCCAAAAGGAGTGAACCATCCTCTACCAAAGTCTAATAGTGAGGGTGGAATGGAAAACATCTGTGTTTTATAATTTTTTTTAATATAGAATGGATAACGCATTCTTTAAATTATCTACATTATATTAGAAAGAAAATTCTACTTGTCATTTCAATAAACCCACCCTAAGGTTAATGTCTGTGTTAGTTTTTCCATTACCAATCATTGTACTGCTACAGTTTAATCAACTAAATAGTTTATATAGTGTTGCTCAAAAGATCTACAAATATCAAGGTCTATGCTTACCTAAAAAGGAGCTTTTTAAAATAAAGAAAGCACTTATGTTCCAAATGAATGGCACTGGGCAAAATACATATAACAACACATTTGGACAGATTATCAGGTGCCCATTGGTTTCTTATATGAATAAAATGCTTGAGGAAGATCCTGAGACTATCATCCCCCCTCTTAACTTTTAGCTTCTACATAGTGTCAGATGTTATAAGTGGTAAGAAAGATACATGCTTTCAGGCAGAAGTAAAAATCCATGTACAAAGTAAAAGAGCAAAATCTGTAGTGACTTTGTGCAGAAGGCTCTCTTTACTCCTGGTAACATCCTTCAGCAACTTATCTAGGATAAACGAAATTCAAACAATATTTTGATACAGTAGCAATCCTTTCATATACTCATACTAAATATAAAATTCCAAAAATACATAAATATTCCTTGTACCATGCATTATGCACCAGTTTTGGGCTGACTGATGAGGTCATGGTCACTCTTTTAAGTTAAACATCACACCTCAAAAGTTCTGCCATTGATCTGGCAGTGCACAGACACAATGGTGAGGGCTGCAGAGAGATGGCAAACTACCTCTGCAGTGAAGTGCGTGATGGAGTGTCTCCAAATTAGAGAGGAGGACATGGGGTAGGGGAGGTAGGCAGGGTGAAAGAATTTTAAAATAATACTATTTAGGAGTGTATATTGAAAGATGGCTACTATAATTGGTCTATCCTTTATCCTGATCTTGAATAACTGCATGTTCATGCAAAATAAAGTCTCTACTTTGTAGGAAGAGGAGCAGTCTATTAGGAGAAGCATATTCTTAGTCAGGGGAAGATGTGAAGACATCTCTGTCAGAAGTGCTATTTTACTTGGTAAGTCTTTTGGCTACATCACTATATGCTATTTCCACCTCCTTATCACTGGGACAGGTATTGGTGAACTCATCCCTGCTATAAGCATTAGTTAAGTATCTCCAGATGCCAGTCATTCCTTTTGGAATATCAAAGTTGCGATATTTTTTGGCCACCACCTGAAATACAAAGGGATCAAAAGTTAACATTTATTTTCTGTGACTTATAAACCAGACATCTCTCTGTTTCAGGGCAAACTAATTCTGTGAATCTCTGCAAACTGCTTCTATTTGAAAAGAAGTCTGTCACCTTCATTCTAACTAGAGTTTTCAATAATGGCAAGGGCTGCAAACTACACCAGAGATTCAGAAGCGTGCCAGTGATTGTAAATGCCTGTGTCAGCCATCCAGACAGCCAGCCAAGTGTCATCACTGGATAAATAAAACACACACACTATTTCAAATCTCTGTTTCTCCTTCTTGTGATCTGTAATGCACAACTAGTACTTATTATTATCCATTTAACACAGTGTCTCAAACAATAATAAAGGTTCAATAAATGTATTTCCCCTCAAACAGAAAAAGCCAGTTGATCACAGAACAGAATTTGACAATGTAAGTCAGTGTAGCAAACTCCAATTTAAAGTTACCTGTTACATCTTTGAATACTTTGCAGTCACAGAAAAAAACACACAGAATACTAGGCCTGAGGGTAATGGGACACCACATGTTACAAACCTACCTTGACAATGTGTAGTTTAGGCAGCAAGTTGCAATCAGCTAATGTCATTTCATTGCCATCCAGAAATTTACGTGTAGAAAACTTAATGTCCTCCATACTATTCTCATCAATTTCATCAGGGAGGGGAGAATTCAGATACTCATCCAGTTTCTGTAGTGTTTTCAAGAGACCCCTCTCCAAAGCTGAAAGAAAGGTGGGGATACTATAAGAAGGAAAGACACACAAACCCCAAACATGGATATTTTCTTGACTCCATATTCTGCTCCATCTGCTTTAGCACCACACTGTTTTAACTACTGTAACTTTATAAGCAATCTTGATACCAGGTAATATTAAGTTTCCAAACACATATTTTCAAGATCATCTGAGCTATTCTTATTCCCTAAAAATTTTAGAATTAGCTTGTCAATTTACACACACACAGTGAGAAAACCTGTTGGATTTTTGAATGATCTAAATTCAACACAGTTCCATCTTGAGAAGAACTGTCATCTTTACAATACTGAGTCAATTGATGAATACCATTTATTTAACTCTTTAAAGCTTCTTCAGTGTTTTACATTTCATATGTAGAGGCCTTGCCCATTTTTTCTTAAGATTTATTCCTAAATGGCTGACATTTTTTTTTGTTTTGATATCATTAATGTACAATTACTTGAACATTATGGCCTCTATTATCAAGTCCCCCCCACATACCCCATTACAGCCACTGTCCATCAGTGTAGTAAGATGCTATAGAATCATTACTTGTCTTCTCTGTATACACTGCCTTTCCTGTGTCCCCCCCGCTACATTATGTGTGCTAATCATAACGCCCCTTTTTAAATGGCTGACATTTTTGATGGCATGAATATTTTTGTTATGCTATTGTTTGTGGCTAGAATGCAAAAAAAATACAACTGATGTTTATAATAGCTTTATATCCAACAACCTTGCTAAGTTGCTTCTTATTCTTACAGTTTACCTATAGATTCCTTTGGATCTTCTACATACAGAAGTATATTGTTTAAGAATGATGACAAATTTATTCCTTCCTTTATAATTCTCATTCTTTTCATTCCTTTTTCTTGACTGCTTTATTGGCCAAGACCTCCAGTGCAATGCTAAACAGAAAAGACTGTGAGCACCCTTTTCTAGTTCTCAATCTCAACAGAAAATTTCCCTAGTTCGTCATTAAGTATGTTCATTATAGCTTTTTTTGTAGATTCTCTTTGTCTCTGCTATATCTAGTTTGCTAAGACTTCAATAAATATATATTTATAATTAATACGTTTTTATCATGCATTTTTTCTTCTGAAATGATGTAATTTTCCTCCTTTATTCTATCAGGGTGATAATCTATACAGCTTTTTTTAATGTTTAAATAATCTTCCATTCCTGAGTTAAACCCAACTTGGTTGTATTATCTTTTTTCTGATATTACTGCATTTAGCACACTTTCAGACTTTCACATCTATGTTTGAGAGAGACTGGCCTGAAACTGTGCTTTCTTTTGATGTTCTTGTGTGGGTGGATATCAAAGTTGACCTCAAAGAAGCAAGTTGAGAAGTATTTTCCTCTTATCTGTTCCCTAGAAGAATATGTGCAAGACTGATATTACATCTTCTCCAAATGCTTAGAAGAGTCCACAGTGAAGCTCTCTGGATCTGCAGTTTGCCTTGTGAAATGGTTTTAAAGACTAAAGACTATTTACATTTTTAATCCCTTCTTATAATAATACTGTTACACTATACTTTCTGTAAATTTATCCAAGTTTTCAAATTTATAAGCATACATTTTTTTGAAGAATTCTCCAAAAACCATGTAAAAGATCTGAAAATTTTTCAAATTTACTTTATGGCTCAGCTTTATAATAAATTTTGCTTAGTGTTCCATGTTCATTTGAAACATTAAAGTACATTCTTCAGTTGTTAGGTACAGTGTTCTATATACATCAATGAGATTAAATGTGTTCATTGTGTTGTGCAATGAACTGTGACTGACTTTTTCTTTAATGGCTGATTCTAACAGTTACTAAGAGAATGAATTAAAATCTCCCACCAACTGTGGATGAGTTTATTTCTCTTTAAGTTCTATCAAATGGCTTGTGTATTTTGAGGCTATTTGGTAATACAAATATAGAATTATCATGTCTTCCTGGGAGATTAAACTTTTAAATCAGTTTGAAACATGGTTCAATTATTTCTAGTAATGCTTCTTTCCTTCAAGTCTACTCTATCAGTGTAGCTTTGCCAACTTTTTTGGCTAGTATTTACACTATTTTACTTTCAACTTTCATGGATATACATATATATGTATGTGTGTATGTGTGTTTTTGTGTGTGTATTCTTATACAAAAGCAACATATTTTTAATCCAGTTGGCAAAGTTTAACTTCAATATGGAGTATTTAAATCATTTATATTTAATGTAACTACAAACTGATCTAAATGTGCCATCACATATTTTCTACTTGCCCAGCTGGCTCTGTGTTCTACTCTACTTTATTTTGGATTGTTTTAAAATTATTAACTCATTTCCCTCATATCAGCATGTTATACATTCTTTTACTGGTCTTTGTTCTCTTGACTTAAATTTAAGTTTAATTACAACTTTCACCACTTCCAGGATAATATAAGTACCTAAGAACACTCTAAGTCCATTAAATCCCTTCTCTCCTGCATGCACTTGTCACATGTATTAATTCGACATATATTTTAAATTCCACATGGTATTCGTTTTGTATAGACGGCATTCATTTACATTTTACAATATATGTTTACTACATTTTGCTTTCCCTTCCTTTTTGCATCTCTGGGTATTCATCTGAAATCATTCTCCTTTTTCCTGAAAAGTCCTTTAAGTATTTCTTCTGGTATGGGTCTGTTGGGTGAATGCTCAGTTTTTGTTTGCTTGAAAATGTTTATTTTGCCCTCACTTTTTAAAATTCATAAGTACAAAGTATGTCTTAATTATTATATTCTTGCATTTTTCAGCTGACAAACTTGAACACTTAGTAAGAGAATTAATTCTCAGAGCAGCCAACGGACATAGGAAGGATAGATACTATCTTACTTTATAGTTACGGAAATAAAGAAGTAGAGAATTTGTCTTATTCTCAATATCAAAGAAAAGAGATCTGACTTCTTAGAATTTGACTTGTCATGACTACTTGGAATTGAAAATTGAATGGTGAATTTTAGAGGCTCACAGAAACGGCAATAAGAAAAAGCTGACTGGTTTAGCAAGTATACGTAATCCAGTGCTATAAATATAAATGTCACATCTTGAGGCAAAAATAATTATTTGGATGTATCTGCTTTCACTCTTGGAGAGTTTTTAATTGCTTACAGAATTCTAACTCACTTTCTTTTTCAGCTCTTTGAAGATCCCAGATTGTCTTTCGGAGTCTACCATTTCTGTTGAGAATCAATGCTCAGTCTTAGTGCTTTTACCTTGAAGGACTTTCTTCTCTCTGCCACTTTTAAAATTCTGTCTCTGGTATTCAGCAACTGATCATGGTGTGCACAGATGTAGTGTTCTTTGTACTTGTCCTGCTTGGGTTTTGTAATTCTTGACTCCATGGCTTGTTATCTTTCATCAAATTCTTGGCAATTACCTCTTTTAACTACAGCTTTTGACTACATTTTCTCCTCTCCTTCTGAGACTCCAGTTATGTATCTGTGAAACTTTTTTCATTGTGCTCCACAGTTTACACTGTTTTGTTTTTTTTTTTTTTTTGTCCTTTTGTCTCTTTGCACTTCCATTAGACATTTCCTTCTGGCCTATCTTCCAACTCACTCTTTCTTTCTTCATCATTGTCTAATCTGTTAAATTCATCTATTAAATTTCATAATTTCAGTATTTTTTTTTAATTCTAGAACTCCCATTTGGTTCCTTCTGATAATGGTTCCTTTGCTGAAATTTTCCACTTTGTTCTTTTACTTTGAATATATACATTAAAGTTATTTTAAAGTCAGTATCTGATAACTGAATTCTTTATGGTTTTTAATGTTTTCAAAAAATGTATTAGTTACATTCAGTCCTTGACATGACCACTATTACTGTTAGATTTTTAAAGCTGTTAAATGTTTAAACTCAGCATTGATTTATATTAAACAATCTATTAAATCATGAGCTTTTTCCTTCTAATTCTTGTTATTAAATTTAATGTATTATTCTTACATCTCAAATCACACTGTATGTCTGCTGAAGATAAAGTCTGTGCCTTTTGCTTCTGCATATCCCGTCAAATTCATGGCAGTATACCTATGCCCATGTTAGGCACTGCCCCAGACTAAGAAAGGCCAATAATTAAGTATAAAAATTTTAAGTTTCTTAAATAGAGATGGCTCAAAAGAAAATTTGGTGGTTCTTTTAAAGTCAGATGAGATATTTGACTATTTGACTATTATATCTTGTGGGAAGCTAGAAATGAGGTGCACACTGCTTGTTGCTATAGAACACTAGTAGCCACTTAGATATAAAGAACTGGTAATATTTTTTGCTTAAGTATGTATCAAACAGATTAGAATATCAAGTGACAGATGACAAGATCAAAGAACTATTTTATTAATAAAAGGTCACTCTAGTCATAGCCAAGATCAAGTTAGTTCATTTCTTAAAAACAGTTAAGCAGCGTGGCACTGGAATCCAGTAAAATAAAGTTGATGAGTTAAGAGAGTCAATTTTTCAACTGGAGAAATGACAAGGAGTCAAGATTTTTAAAAATAAAAGATCAAAAATACAAAAGCAATATATAACCTTTTATTAATTACATATAAGCTCTGATAATGCATACAGTCAGCTGAAATTTAAAGTTTGTAAATTAAAAAGAATGCAATGTGAGAAACAGCTAGGTTAGTAAGGAGTCCAGGGCCATGATAGAAAACTTTTCATGGTTGTACTTAAAAGGACAGAAGATGAGAAGGAGACAAAAGAATCTCAGGACTATAAAAGATCAAACTTAAAAATTCAATGTGCTTCCTATCAAAGCAGTGAATACAGAATAAATACACAGTATATATAAAGACTTGTTCTTTGATCAGATTATAATGAACGCAATCATAAGGAAGATTATATTAACTGAACTCAAACACCAAAATAATGTCTCAAATAGCACTTGAGCTGTATGGCACATTTGAGTAAGTTTATGATCTTCAATCTGCTCTAAATCAATCCTTTTCCTGAATTAGTTCTCAAAT